AACTTCCCTAAAGTCACACTGCCAATTTATGTCAGAGGTAGGACTTCCTGATTGCAATGCTGTTTATCTACTACATCATACTGCCCACTACCAGTATCCAAAGCTGATGTCAGAGTGAAAGAGGTTTTGATACAAGTAATGATACTAAAGAAATCCACCTCAATTTGTGGGAAAATCTTTTTTTTTTTTAATTACCATTTAGTACCAAGGTTTTGAAATGTCAGACAACAGTTCTTAGCTACCAAGAGCTGGAAGAAGTGAGATGAAACACGGTACAGTGGTTTTGGAGTAAAAAGATTCAAAAGCTCTGGCTCTCAGACATGGCTATACCACAAACTAATTTGGCCTACTCATTTGCCCTCCCTGAGCCTCATTTTCCTCATCTGTAAAACGGAAGATTGGATTAGAAGGTCTCTAACTTTTTGCAATGCTGTATTTTTAATCGAGATTGTATTTTTTTAAACTCTGGGGAACAGAAAAGTAGCAAAGGGTTCTGAGTTTGGCCACTATCTCTAACCATAAAGAAAAATCAGTTTAGGGGCAGGTAGATGACACAATGGATAGAGCACCAGCCCTGGAGTCAGAAGGGCTCAAGTTCAAATCCAGCCTCAGACACTTACTAACTAGCTGTGTGACCCTGGGCAAGTCACTTGACCCCCACTGCCTCCAAAATTTAAAAAAAAAAAAATCAGCTTAATTAATTCTCACTTTGGATCCCTATAGCAATTACCATCTCTATAATTCATTTGGCAATTAATTATATACATCTCTTATACTATTTCCGTCAAGTGTACCTTAAATGTTTTGTTGTATAAATTGTCATGTGTGTATATACATCTCGTCTCTAGAACTGTACGTAAGCATAAGCTCAATCAAAGGAGTTTAAACAGGAAGCTATTGTAAAGAACATGTATAAAAGTTACCTGAGGAAACGGAGGTCTAACAGCTAAGGAAACGGAGTCCCAGAGAGATTAAGTGTTTTGCCACAAAGGTCACAAAGGTAATCAGTAAACAGCAGAGACAGAAGAGGCTTCAGACTCAAAATTCCGGGCTCTTCTTATCCTGAACCTTTCCAGGATTTCCAGAAGAGTTAATCAGGAAACTACCAAGATAATTATATTTCTTAGGAGTTTTTTGTAATAAATCTTGCTCTAACTGTACTGAGATTTAGCCTTTTACCTTTTAACACAAGTTTTCCAAAGCTGGGCATATAATTATCCTCTCACCCTGCAGCCCAAAGAAGTTAAAGGCTGAAAGAAACATCCCACATCTACCAAAGAATTTGTAGCAGCACTTTTACTTAGCAAGAACTTTCAAGTTACAAAGAACTTGAAATCAAATAGATGCCCATGATCAGGACATGGCTCAATAAATTACCATGCTTTAATGCCATGTAATATAGGAATCTCATAAGAAATAATTCAGAGAACTATGGGAAGAATAATATGAAATGAGTGGAAACACATCTCAAAAGCACTGCCTTCTACACAAAGTCTAGCCTGATCCCAAATGTTAGACTCTCTTTTCTAACTACCTTGTATTTATTCTGTATTTATTTTGTTTATATGCACTTATATATGTGATATTATCTCTTTGTCTGCAATCTACTGTTACTTCAAGATCCTGTATCTTGGACAGCCTGACCAGCAGGCTAGCAACACACAAGGCCTTTCTCACAATCCTCACATATTACTGATCAAGTATTCATGTGCTAGGCACTCAGTCCAATGAGGGAGATACAAGGAGGGAGGCGGGGGTACAACACACACATACATATGCACACACATATATCAGAAATGTAAAACTAATTAATGCAATACACACAAATTAGTTAAATACAAAGGAGTTTAGGAAAAAAGGAAGACATTAGCAGTTAAGGAGATCAGAAAGGGTTCATCAGGGAGATGGTGACTAATCTGCATCTTAAAGGAAAAGTGGGACTCCATTAGGTAGAAGTAAGAGTATGGGTTATACACACATCCAGTACAAAAGCATGGAGAAAGAAGATGAATCGTTGCACATGAAGAGCAGAGACAAGCCGAGTTTGACTGGACCACAGATTATGGGAGAATCTAATAAGACTGGAAAGATACACTGGGGCCAGGATGTGTAGGGCTTTAAAAGCTAAACAGAGTTTACATTATTTTCCTAGAGGTAATAAGAAGCAAACTGGAGTTGGTTGAATAGGGGAGTTCAAGGTCACGTCTTCATTTAAAGCAAATTACTTTAGCTGCAAAGTGCAGAAAGGACTGGGATAGGGAGAGACTTCAGGCAGGGAGAACAATAAGAAGGCTTTTGCAATAATGCAGGTGACAGTTGATAAGGGTCTAAACTAAGGTAGTAGCTACGTGAATAGAGAGAAAGGTACACATACAAAAGATGTTGTGGATGCAGCAACTGCAAGATATGGCAACTGATGGGGAGTAAGGGAGAGCAGGGAGTCCAGGACCATGCTGGGCTTATGAAACTGAGGTACTAGAAGGAATACGCCTTTGACAGAAAGAGGGAAGTTTTGGAAGAGGGGAGGGTTTAGAGAGAAAAGATGAGCTCTCTGTTGGACATGCTGAGTTTAAGACATTTCTAGAATATCCAGTTTGAACTGTTCAATAAGCAATGAGTAGTGTGGGTCTGAAGCTCAGGGGAGGGACTGGACCTGGGGGGCAGATCTAGGAGTCATCTGCAAGAGATGATCATGAAACCCATGGAAGCTAAAAAGGTTACTATCCTACATCTCTCCTCACTTTTTCAGTCAAACTCCTTGAAAAGTATATCTACACTCAAACCCTCTACTCCCTCATTTTATAGACAAGGCAAATGAGACTCAAAGAGGCTAAGTTCCTTTCCCTAAGATCACACAGGTTTAAATAACAGAGCCAAGGTTCTTAGATCTCAGGTTCTCTTATTTCAAGCATAAAATTACTACAAAATCCAAAATACTTCTTCAATTACTCTGAAAGGAAGAGTTAGGTATACCCTTAAGAATAGCATTTACAATGTAAAACTTGCTTGCCTATGTAATCATCTGTTACAAAAAAATCTAAAGAAGACTAAAGGGTCACTGATTATGCCTCAGTGCTAAAGTGGTTTTACAGAACGTTTAATGTTTAATTTAAGAAAGGAAGGGAGGGAGGAAGGGGGACAGAGAGACAGAGAGAAGAGAGACAGAGACAGAGAGACAGCGACAGAGACAGACAGAGACAGAGAGAGAGAGATACACTAAGAAAAACATAGCTATCTAATTTTACAGAGACTCTGAGAGGCAGCCTTCATGGTGTCACAGTTAAGGTGTTGGGCTCAGAACTTGGAAGAACTGGGTTCAAGTCCTGCCTCACACAAGAGACCCTGCTCTGGAGGGGTAGGATTGATAAAGAACTGATCTCTGCCCTAAAAAAGGCAGACAGACCTCAGAGCTGGTACCAGTAGAGACCACTGGTCAGGTCTGGGAAAGAGAGGTCACTCAGAGCTTGTACTCCTTGAAAGAATCAAATGCAGCTGCCATCTGCAGCTAGGACAAGTGCACTGGGAGAGGACGGGCTCTGGCCTCCACTTTTCCTGCAATGCTACCCGCTGTCTGAGAGGTGAAAACTCTCAGACCTCAACCCAGAGAACCCACCTGGAAAAGCCCCAAAGAGAAAAGGCTCAAGAAGAGCAGTCATCAGAAGCAGTTCTGTCCACCAGACTTACCAAACAGATTCTGAAGAAGAAAGATGACATTAAGGCCCACAATACACAGCTGGTAGTGGTCTGGGGCACATACTCACTGCTCATGTGTCTCCTTCCTATAGTTTTCTAAGAGTATGTCCATGCTGTTCCAGGTTTACTGTATATATTGCTAAAAGACTGCATCGCAGGTTTATGAGTGGAATGTTATGTTACAATTATTTTTGTTTTGCATTCTGTTTAGCAAATGTTTCTAATTAAGAGCTAATAATTTCAACTTGGCTGATTTGTTAAATGGAGAGCACACCAGCTGTCTCAGGAATAGTAGATGTGTATTTTCCCTCACCAGAGTTAGCCCTAAATTCAGAATGATTTGTCACAGAATGGCCACCCACTGTGGAAACCCCAAATCTGTCAGTGAGACCTTGGGAGAGGGAGCTAGTTTAGGCTGAGAAAATAGGGAGCCAATGCCACACCCCTATACTACACCAGTAACCTGTCTTTTCCTGCCCGAAAATTTCTTTTTCTGATACTGTTCAGGACTAACCATGTTCAATGCCTCCAAATTCTTTTTTCTTCTGAGATATAAAGCTGAATAGTATATGGGTGTGTGTGTGTGTGTGTGTGTGTGTGTGCGTGTTTGTGTGTGTGTCACTTCTTTTATTTAGTAATCTCAAATCTTATTCATCAAGATATTTTTTGGCATTATCCCTTAAGCTCACTTTCATAATGAAGTCACTGGGCATCAAGCTATACTTTGATTTGATTAAGAGAATCTTGTCAAGTTCTTTATAGAATTTTTCTGCTACTACATCATTTTGCAAAAGATACTGATGTATAATTATCTTCATTGTGATCTTTCTGCTTAAGTTCATCATGTACACTACAAGGCAATTTTTGATACCTTTGGGGCACAAAATGAATTCTACTGTATGCTTTCTTGTCTCTCTAGAGTACCTCTGACTTTTTCCTCCATGTATCTATGTGTAATTTCTTTAGTGAGAGTATCAGTATGAATATATAAAGTTATTTATCACTCAACACAAATCTCACAGTTCAAATAGGCACAAATACACAAAGGTTATTATAGGATGTTATACTGTAGGGCTGAACTCTTGGTATAGGTATTTCTTCCACCAACATAAATCACAATTAATCTATGACAAATTTGAATTATAAGTCAAAAAAGTACTTTAGGGAACATGGGAGGCAAACAATTTTAAGACATAAAATAGCCCAGAGATAAGATGGTTTGTAAACAATATGATCTACCCTAAATATAAGTACATTTCCAAATTGTAGTTTTGAATATATTAAAAAATTTTAAATAGATTACTCACCACATTGTAATAGCTTTTGTTAATTGCAGATGTATCAAATCCTTTAGGAGGGCTCTTCAATGCTCCTGACTTGGGGGACACTGGCTTTTCTGAAATAACAATGGGATGCAATTTTACTGCTCAACACTAAATACCAAACTTCCTAATAAGAGCACTGTGGTGAAATACAGTAACATGTCACTTATTCAGAAGTCACTGACCTGACAATCAACCATCCAGAATATAGTCATTAACCAAGAAATCAGCAAAATGTTCTATGATTCTCCCTATTAGATTTAGGCATGTTATTTAAAAAAATTTTAAGGGACTCTTTATGTAGCCCAAGTGCTGCTGTGGTATCCCTGGAAGAGGAAGCCATGTGAAAATAGTGGGAAAAGCACTGAATTTGGAATTCAAATCCTGACTTCAGGGGCAGCTAGGTGGCGCAGTGGATAGAGCACCAGCCCTGGATTCAGGAAGACCTGAGTTCAAATCCAGCCTCAGACACATAACACTTGCTAGCTGTGTGACCCTGGGCAAGTCACTTAACCCTATTGCCTAACCACAGAAAAAAAAATAAATCCTGACTTCTTTCCCAACTACCTGCATGTTCTAAGTCAAGTCCTTCAGTCTTTCTGGAACTCAGTTCTTTGATTAAATTGAAAGGGCTGGAGATATCCCCTAAGGTTCCTTCCAAAGCTAAATTTACCATTCTATGAATGTTAGAGAACCAGATTTGAATAGATTCTCTGTGGAGTAGATTCTCTATGGGAGGCTGGAAATAAGCAAGGACGAGATGAGAAGACACAGACAGTTCGTAATCTTTGTTACTGGAAGGAATACACACATTAAAAAGATCACAAGTCTCCTGAAGTAATAATGAAAAAAGGTGATCAACAAAATGGAAAACTAGACATTTTCTCCAGTCCCCATTAATTCTCCCAAAAAAATAAATAAATAAAATAAAAGGTCAACTAGCTAATAGCCTTATGAATTAACAGTGAAGAATGCCAGTCCTTTATACACAGTCACTCACCACCCCTCCCCCACCAGCATCCATGACCAATGGGATATGTTCAGGGACTCATTCCCTTCTGTAGTCACTGGCAGTACATTCCAACCCCCCCTTTCCACAGGGTCCTAATACAGCAAGTATCAGACCTCAACTGTACTCAGCCATATGGGAAAGAGAAGATGGGACAGCAAAGGTATCAGAGGGAAGAACTCTGCTTCCCTTTTGCTGGGGGAAGCTGCTAGTTTAGGAAACTTCAAAGCTACAGAAAGTCTTAAGGGACTATAGACCCTAACACCCTCCAATCATAACAAAAGCAGCAGATACAGATTCTGCCCAATCAGCCAACTAATGATTAGCAGGAATTGGGAGCACAGGGTCAACGTGTACAAAAGAGGACTGGTATCTAAATCCAGCAAATTCTGTCCCTCCAGAAGCTACTTGGAGCACAAACTGAGACCTGAGAAAAGTAGATGCCCCAACTTCGGAGGATGCAGAGACAGTTTTGAGGATTAACTCCAGAGATGAAGTTACATCATCAAAAGGGAAGGAGTCAGAAAGTAAGCTACAAGGGAATCTAAAGGGAAAGCCCAAAACCACCAAAAATATCAAGAAAAAGAAAATTTAGATAGGAACCTAAGCACAAACAAGAACATACTACAATTAAGAGGAAATATGAATACTGAAACATATAAGAGATTACAAACCTCTGTAAATAAATATTGTAAGGCAAAGGAAACTGAACCAACACCTACTGAAATAGAGAACCTCGTGGATTACCAAGAGAGAATGAAACTGCAACAAGATATTGCTGAATCACTCAAAAGAGAAATCAAAATCTTGAGAGAATAAGTTAAAAGGGAACAAATGACAGAATTTATGGCTTGCATCAAAGAAATAATTAGAATAAAAAAATTTAAATCCAAAGTATCATGTCTTACCAAAAAAAGCAAAAAAGGGAAAGGGAGAAAAAACTTTACTAGATTTACTACAATTTACTAGAAATACCAATATACTGAAGTGAAGGACAACCTGGAAGAAAAGTAAAAATCAATAATGCTAAAAGAATATATGAACTCTATACAAGTAAAACACGATGACCTAGAAGACAGGAGGTGAAGAGCCAACTTAAAGACCATAAGCTTCCCAGAAAAACACAAGTCAAAAAACATGAATACCATAATGCAAAAAATAATAAAGGAAAACTGCCCAGAACTTCTAAATACAGGAAAACACACACACACACACTCTCTCTCTCTCTCCCCCTCTCCCTCTCTCTCCCCCTCTCTCTCCCTCTCCCTCTCTCTCTCTCTCTCTCACTTTCTTTCACTGTCTTTCTCAAAATAATCCACAAATCATCTCAAGGAAGGAAGGAAGCTTGCGCTTCAAACTCCAGGATACATAGCAGTAAAAATTTAACAAGAAAATTAACAAACAATAAATTCTGCAAGTAACTAAAAGATAAAAAAACTTTAAATATAAAGGAAAACTTTTTTTTAAAACTAAGATTATTTTGAACCCATCAAAAACTCCAAGAGGTTATGGAATAAGATATTCCAAAAAGTAAAAATACTCAAGCTGCAACAGAAAATTACTTACTATGCAAACTAGAGACTAATCATTGATGAAAAAGGATAATTTAATAAAGCAGAACTGAAATATTCTCACAAAACAAAAACAAAATACATAAAGAAGATATGTTGGCTTTGAAACAAAAGAAACATAAGGAAGCTAAATAAATACAACCACCAAGGAAAGAACAATAATGAAATAAAGTATCCCACCTCTGCAGACTATTAAAAGAAAAAAAAACAGAAAAACATCCATTGGATTAAAGGTGGCAAAGGGAGGGAATGAAAGGGAAAAAGAAAAGAGAAAAATTACACTCAATGTGAAGAAAGAGCCCCAAATGAAAAGCACTCCTATGGGGAGAGAGATTCTGTAAAGGGAGATGAGGATTTCAGAAGAAAATACTTCCTATGAGACTCTCCATGGGTAATAATAGCCAGCATCAGGAAAACGGAAATCAGAGCTCCTGAAGACAACTGGCATAGGAAGACACAGACCCAGAGAGGAGACTGCTATATGGCAAATAGGGAAAAAAAAAAATTGAGGAGGGACCGGAAGGAGGGGGAGAAGGGGATTAGACCACACGATCTGAAACACACATTCATTTTTACTATGGGCCAATGCTATCCTAATTACTTCCCTTAAGAATTGATACTTCTAAGAGTGATAGAAAAAAAAACAACAAGAATAGAAACAGAAAAAGAAAATAGAGAAATAGCACAACAGAAAAAAAAGGAGTGGAGAGACAAGATCTACAAAGGCAGTAATATGGAAAATTGGTTAGCAGAGGGAACTCAAACTTGGTACTTTAGAAGCTTTAATTCCCTGAGTAACACAAAGAAGGAATAAATAAGTATAAAGACTCTGAATCAAAGAAAAAAAATCTAGGAGAGACAGTAAGGGAAGAAAATTCATGAAGAAAACAAGGCAAAAGAAACCCTTCTTTGGTGCAGAAAAAGGAAAAAACTAACAAAAGAAGCTGCAGAGGATGTGATACTTTGAACTAACCACTGAACTGAGAGGAGAAAAAGGAGGGGGAAAAGGGGGAAGAATTATGTAACTAAATAAAAGGGAAAAAATATATCAATAAAAAAAGTGAGAGTAAACTTTTGCCAATTAGGCTGAGGATCACAGAAAATGAAATTAACAAAATTTTAAAATCAAGTAAAATTTAAAAAAACCAAACCTGGAGAAATATAAAGAATTATCAGAATCTACTCCACACAATTATACGTCAACAAAACTAAAAACACAGGGGAGAATTACCTTCAGAAATATAAAATATCCAGACTAAAAGAACACCAACAATAGATTTTATGGAATTCACTCTCAGAAAAGGAAACAGTACTAGTTGTGAACTACGGGGAAGAAGGTATATGTCAGAGGTGGGGGAAACCTGAGGCCTCGAGGCTACATGTAGCCTTCTAGGCCCTTAGGTGCAGTGCAGCCTTTTTGACTGACTCCAAGTTTTACAGAGCAAATCTTTTTATTAAGGAGATTTGTTCTGTGAAGTTTGGATTCATTCAAAGGGCCACACTTGAGGACCTAGGGGGCTCCATGTGCCCTTGAGGTCACAAGTTCCTCACTCCTGGTATAGGTAGAGGGGGTTACTTATGGTCCTGGTGGATTTAAAGGAGAATTCTATCAAGCTTTTCACCAATTCTACATAAATTATCCCATGAAATTAAGAAAGAATTGTGCCAAACTTATTTTATAAGACAAATATAGTTTTCATGTCAAAACCAGAAAAGAAAAAAAGTACAGAACTATAAACCAACATGATTAATAAATATCAATTCAAAATTTTTAAATAAAATCCAATCAGCACCAATTCATTCAAGAAATTAGTAATATATGACCCGATATACATTCACAAAAAATGACTTTGAGTCAAGAATATTTAAAATGTTTACTATTTTCTGTTTAAGAAAGCATAAGGTATATAGTATATTTTGTAAAGATTTTTATCCAAAATTGCTTAAAAAATTTTTTTCAAGTACACCCAAAGAGCTATAAAAATGTGCATACCCTTTGACCCAGTAATACCAATTCTAGGGCTGTATCCCAAAGAGATCATACTAATGGGAAAAGGACCCACATATACGAAAATATTTATAGCACCTCTTTCTGTGGTGGCAAAGAATTGGAAATTGAGAGGATGCCCATCAATTAGGGAATGGCTAAACAAATTATAGTACATGAATGTAATGGAATACTATTGTGCTATAAGAAATGATGAGCAAGTGGACTTCAGAAAAACCTGGAAAGACTCGTAAGAACTGATGCTGAGTGAAATGAGAAGAGCCAGGAGAACATTGCACAGAGTAACAGCCATGTTGTGCAATGACTAATTTTGATAGATTTAGCTCTTCTCAGTAATGCAAGGATGTAAGACATCTCCAAAAGTCTCATGATGGAAAATGCTATCCACATCCAGAGAAAGAACTATGGAGTTGGAATGCAGATCGAAGCATACTATTTGCTCTTTTTTTTCTTCTGTTTTGTTTCTTCTTTCTTGTGGTTCCTCCT